AAGAAAAAAACAGTTGAATAAGATTGTTGTTTATTAAAATTGCGTATAAGCAAAGCGCGCCTTTTAAAGATTGTTTACGGCAATAAATCGTACGGCAGTAAATCGCACGGCAGTAAATCGCACGGCAGTAAATTGCACGGCAGTAAATTGCACGGCAGTAAATCGCACGGCAGCAAATCGATGAAACGATTTAGAAGAAGCCGTGCGTGCAGAAAAAACTGCTCAGTGAACAGTCGCTACACAGAACGCGACAAATATAGGATACCCCGCAGAGCTCTCTTCAGTATGATTACTCAGAATTCTCGAAGCACTTATATCGGATACCTTGTTAAGGCTTTCTCAGTATATGGGTACTCTGAACTCATTACATGCTCTCGGGTATTCATACATACAGAGTAACGTTTAAGGTGCACAATACAGTGTGCGATACACATGAAGCAATTACATATGTCATATGATTGCTACTTTGAAAATAAACTGGTGACTCTGCATGCATGATGTTTACGCAACGACAAAAGTACTGCCATTTCTAGCATAGAGCAAAGTTCAGGACATTTTCTCTATCGGACGTTCGTATGCATATTTATCTTAAATGTTGGCGCTAAAAAGTCTGACTACGTTACACACGCAGTTTGTTTTTAATAGCGTGTGTTTTCGGGCAGTTTCATATTTTCATTAATAATTATATTAAACAAAGCTAGCAGCTACGAAATCAAAACAATTTCTTGAAGACGTGAGTGGAACAATATTTGTTTTATTCTTTTGCGCCATACCCGAAATATAATGCTTAATTAACACTTGTAGAACTGCTGGCAAGTTGATAAACAATAATTCAGCAGAATAATTGATCTGTGAAATACGGTACAAAAGCAACTTGATAACNCTGACTACGTCACACACGCAGTTTGTTTTTAATAGCGTGTGCTTTCGGGCAGTTTCATATTTTCATTAATAATTATATTAGACAAAGCTAGCAGCTACGAAATCAAAACAATTTCTTGAAGACGTGAGTGGAACAATATTTGTTTTATTCTTTTGCGCCATACCCGAAATATAGTGCTTAATTAACACTTGTAGAACTGCTGGCAAGTTGATAAACAATAATTCAGCAGAATAATTGATCTGTGAAATACGGTACAAAAGCAACTTGATAACTTTTTCAAACGATTCAAGAACATGAAAACGCGTTGTCGTTGGATGTTGTTGCTGATCAAAAAAGGCATACTTCATTTTGACAAACAATTGGCACTTTATTGAAGTATATAGCTTATGCCACAGACACATGGCAGATAGACAAACAGAATGGGTGTGGTTCTCTAGAGTATTAGATTTTGATATGCTAGCTTCGTTCGGACTCGTGGTTAATATGATCGATGTGGGTAGAGCTCTCATTTACAAGTAGAATGAATTTGTTTTCCAAATTTTTATTCCTCACATATTGCATTGAAAACTTTCTTAATTGTAAATGTACTTTTCACATATATTTTCAAGCACTTTTTATTTCTCTATTTTTCTGTCACAAACTCACACTCAAAATGGTGAGCGTCTATTTTTACATTGAATCCTCTCACTGTTTCTTATATGCAATAAAATAAAAACACATTCAAGCGAAATTCATAAAGCGAGAAAAAAATTTTAGACAGTAAAAAAATTGTTAGAGAGTTGAATAAACACGAACGCGTATAAATTCGCTAGTGTGGCCCATTGATAGTTTCATTCATACACGTAATAGAGCAACAGCAATAACTGCTGAAATGTTGCAATGCAAAATTTATTTTGCAACAGCGATCTTCCTCTTGTTGACTCTCAAATCGACAAGTAAGTTTTGCCAAAGTTAAATCTTTGTATCATTATTCTTCTGTCCAGGCGGTCAAACATGTTCGTACATGTGGGATCCAATATTCGAAGTCAACGCGCCCAATCTACCTCAAATGTGCCCAGGTAGATTGTTTTGATTCTCTTTTGCTCAATTTTCTTTCTCTCTGAAATAGTGAGCACAACGAGCGGATTATCATGCACTTTTCCGTTCAACTATGGTGGGGTAAGTACTGAACAAATGAACATCTTGATATTTAAGGAGCGAACAGATACTCTCTCGCCGTCACGATTAAAATCAAGTGCTAACTTGTACCAAACTATGATTAAAGAAGATACATTTCAGAATAGAAGGCATACTTAACGTAGGATCTACTGGATTTATACGATATGAGTATATGCCAAAAACCAAAAAAATAGTGGATCTTCATACAATAAATTTTGGTAGGGAAAAGATAGAGACTTGAGATTATCACCGTTCGAAAGAGTCTTTTTATTGCATCATGTCATATATTATTCAACAATATTTTCTTGGATGCTAAGTGCCTGTCAGTGATACGCGACGATTGAGAACTGTTCCCGTAATACTTGCGGTACCGAACCTTGCTCGTATAAAAAATATAGAACTCGAATGTTCTACCCATTTGTCCGAAAAATTGCTGAAAACTTTCTCTGGGTAAATGGGTGAGAATTTGACGATAACTAATGGCGGGACCTCTCAAACAGCTAGATTACTTTTTAGCCAACACTATATTTATTCGATTCGTTGTAGTAAAAAATTAAAAGCCTAGAAAAAATTCGTTCTCTCAATCTTCTTGCTTCGAATATCATATGGTCACTCAATTTTTCCGACAAAAAGTTGTGAAATATCTCTGATCACCCGGACAATCGAATTCTAATTTTCGCGTACGACAAATGCGAGCAAATTGTTTTTTTGCTTTATTCGTGTTTAGTTAACTGTTTCTTCAAAGCAAATGAATAACTGTTCACCACCCATACTATGGAATTAATTAAACTTGGCGGTATAAATAATAGGGAGATATAGTATTTCTGTAATTATTGAATCAATTAATATGAATAGGGAAAGTGATCAAGTTCATAGAATTAATTCATAAGACGCGAAAAGTAAAATTGAAACATCAATCCGATGAAAATAGGATGAAGCAGCTGAAATATAAGTATAAATAAATAAAAAATGAGTATTTGCATCATTTCGATAAGTTCTTAAACTAAAGGAAAGGCTTTCGTTAAGTCAATCAAAGAAGAAGATCACATTTTTCTCGGCGATTTTCGTTATCATTGGGACAAATTAGTTTGGTGTTGTGTAAAAAAAGGAAGCTTTGAATAAATAAAACCCTCACGCAGACTAATTTCTTGAGAAATTTCATTTATTTCAGTATTTCGCTCCCTGAACATTTTTGGTTCATAAGCTTATGAGAGCGCTAAAAACTGGGTTAAATTAATAATAACTTTTTTTTGAATGAATGTAATTGATTTTTTGTATCTTTTTCTGAAGAATGGGGGGTATAAAATCATTCATTGAATTTATCTGAATTTTTTTCGGATATTATCATATCAAATTTGAAGAGGACCTTTCTATCAGTGGCACAACGAGTATTTGAAGTGATTAGTTAAATTTATATCGAAATGATAAGAAGTTTTAAAAAATATTTTAAAAATTAAACAAATTTTATAATTGCAATATAAAAAATATCTATGAATCATTTTCACAATATCATCGAATGATTAATACAGATACGACTATTTATAGTAGTGGCACGTATGTTTATAATTTGAATAAAATCAATACTAGCTATCTGTTAGTTTTGTATTGATAATTATATAAAAAAGGATGGTTATCATTTTTTTCAATAAATTATATTTTTTCGCGCATTCCAATCTCAACTGAAATTCTCATGTCAACAGTGGCATATGAGGTATATATGGAAACTAGATTCATTGCATCCTTACGGAGTTCAGTTGAGGAAGAGTCAGCCACAAATTTTTGTTTCTCACAATAGTCATTTTCGTTGGTGTACCATCAATGTTTAACACACCAAGAAGCAATTTTCTTTTCATTCTATGTAATGCAGGATTCGTCTTTTTTAAGGCCTCCGCTACATGTGTAGAGTGCCATACAACGGTGCTATCTCGCTTGTCGGCTCAGAACAAAATGACTTCGAACTGTCAGTGTGGAACATCGATTGTTAGCAGCTAGTGCCGGGTTAGCATTAAAACTGAAAATAATGCATTGATTTACTTCTCAAGGAAAATTGATTAATAATAAATCTTTAGAATTAAAAGTAGTATCGGTGTTAGGAATGATAAATTAGTGAATAAATCCGCATTAAGTGTTTTCTTTATCATAATACACCAATGCATTCTTTTCATTTTTAATGCTAACCTCAGACTTCTATTAGCAACTGAGGAATTTTTCAGATAAAAACTGGAAACGTCCGTTTTTCTGAAATGCATCGGTTTAGAGCGTCTCTAGTAACCAAAGATAACAAAACCTGGCAAACGTCCTACTGTTTCTTAGTAATGGGAAAAGCGCTCAGGGAAGATAGAAAAACTAGCTCGACTCCCCGGGAGCCTTCTAAGCGATTCCATAGCTTTCCTTGAATTCTCATGAGCCGTAATACGTTTTTCATTGTTTTAAATAACGTAGTTTCTGATTATTGCAGAGAAATGGTTCATACTAAATGTAAATAATGAAGGCTAGTGGTGTATTTCTTCAATATAGTCGGTATGCAGCTGACACAATAAAGTATAACATGGTCAATTTCTAATTTCCAGCAACGACAAGGGTGTAGACTATTGGTGCCGGCTGATATCCACACTGAAACCCATACCCTCGATATCTTGATTATAATCTGCTATCTTCGCAAAACTAAAAACTACATTTCTTAGAATGCTGAATGAGTTATTCGCACCGTAAAAATTTCAGGGAAGATTCTGAAGTGTTTTAGAATTTCCTAACCCTTGTTTTTAATGTTGTCTAGTGCTTTGAATCCCGGTTTGCTAAGAAATGTAAAGGAAAGGAAGCCGCGAAGCTTCGACTTGAAACTTAGATCCACTACTTTCTTTGAAAATATACGGAAGTTTTACAAAAATGCCCATGGTATATTTCCTCAATCGTTAATAAGATTAGTACTTCTTCAAGAGACACAATCTTCATCGTCCATATGCAATCAAACGATTTAATTTACAGCATGCGTATTGTGAAACAGAATTCTGATATTTTCATTGATTTCATTTATAAAGACAAGTGTTTTTCTCAGGTTAACTATACAAGTTGTACTATCCAAGGTCCGAACAACGCAGATGTTCGACCACAGTGTGCCATATCAGTCGATGGTAACAATAGGGCTCTTACATGGTCGTTTTGCGTAGGTAAGTACTGATAAACTTGCTCGGGGCACTTGTTTGAATTTCGTGTTTCAATAAAAATATAATTATTCTTCTATTTGTCTAGTACCAACCGATGCTGTCATTTTCTACTCAACTGTCTCCAAAAATGGTTATTGGACAGAGAATAGCGGCAGTACGGAAGGCGCCACCATGCTTTGGATTTACGGCAATCGTTTTGCACAAAATGGCTTCAGTACAGTACCATCGACGACGAACAGGAATACTGTTAAATTGGTCAGCAATTATGCCGTGTACGATTGTGAAATGCATAATGATAAGGTGACCAATACACAATTGACCTGTTATACACCGGCCATGGCTCCCGGCGTCTATCAAATTCGAGCCTATGTCAATGGAAATCTGATTCCACTCTATCAGTACAGCAACCCACAACGAGCAACTTTTGTACCATTAGTTAGTCAAACGCCAACCATCACTGGCATTTCACCACAAACAGGTCCGCCACAAACGTTGATCTCATTGTCGGGTAATTTTCGAACGGCGTGCACTTCACGCGATGTCAATGGTTGTTCAATGGACGGTGATCCATTGATTTCTCGGTAAGGAATTGTTTTCAGATTTTTATCATTGAATTCTATATGCTAAATCAAAAATTTTTAGAGTCTACATGGGCGGCCATCTTTGCAATGTGATCAATCCGGTGACAAACACCTAGTAAGTTGTTTCGAACTTTGAATCATTCATTATCTGTTTACTAAATCTTTAATTAGCTACTCGAATGTAACAGATAACAATCTCAAATGTAGCTTTGAGGGAAACGAAATCGGTATGTATTCTATTAGAAGATCTTGTTCGAAATAAATATGAACGTATGTAAAGGTATATTTAATGTGAGCATGCTCGTCACTGAACAATATGGTCGTTCATCCATCAGTCCAAACTTGTATCGAGTGTCTGCTGCCGGCAATTTATACACATTCCAAAGCTATGCAGGTCTGCCTTGTGAATCACACGCCTGCATCTGCATTGAATCACACATATATTTTTCCTTATTTAGTCATCTCAAGTGTGTCGCCAAACACTGGCAGTTTGCAAGGTGGTACAACTCTGACCATCAATGGAGAGAATTTCTGTAACAACGCTCAATATCCTGTAGTAGTCAATGTTGGCGGTCAGCCATGCACGGTTCTGAATGCAAGCCTTACGACTATCCAGTGTCAAACACCTGTCGCTCCTGTGAACATTGCAAGTCAATATCATGGTAAATAGACTTTTTGAAACGTCAAACTTCTTATGGTTTCACATATTTACCTGACGACCTGAAATTAGAAGGTTGTCTCATTGGTTCGATTCTATTTTCGTGAATATTTCTACACTGTTCCAAACACGATATTGATTTTTCGAGCAGAACCATATGAATAATTTCTAATTGAATCGTTATATATTTTTGCGACAGCTCGTAGCTTCCGTTCGTCAATAACTATTTTTGTTATAGGTGGCCGTGGTGTTTACATATTTCGTCAGTCGGGTGCCATTGCTCAAGTAAGTGTCAATATTAGCATGAATGCAAACAACTAGCTACTTAAACGTTTTTTTACAATTTGAAATCCTTTTAATCTGATTGATCAACTGATCAAAAGGCTATTCATGAAAAAGAGATTTATTCAATTGAAACTCTGTATCGTAAAAATGACTTTGATTAATTTCGATTGTGCAATTTTGAATGATTTCCTAAATATTTACACTGAAAAAAAAATAAGTACTCTACAAAACTTAACAAGGCTCCGAGATTTGCAACGAATTCGAAACCCTTTTGCGATGTCGTACGGAACCTTCAAAGTTCCGTATAGTCTCACGAAATCTGTGTCGGAGTCTCCGATATCTTTAAGGGTTTTGTGAGACTTTACGAAACCCTTGAAGAACCTCGAAGGTTTTGTATGATAAAGAAAAATGGTTTCGAATTCGTTGCAAATCTCGGAACCCTTTTAAGTTTCGTAGAATGCTTATTTTTTTTTCAGTGTAGTATAGAACTTAATAGCTTGATCATAGAAACTATTAAATGGAAAATATTAGCACGATTGACTACAATATAGAAAAGTGGTGAGCTTCTAACTATACCGCTTATTCTTAAAAAAGATGGTTGAAAGTGGCAAATTTTCTTCTGAAGTCAAACTTTCTGCAAGCTTCAACCCAAACCCTGACAAAGCTCTGATAATACTTTACAAAACGTCGTTACAGACCATACAATGCCTTTTATTGGTAAAAATAACTGCATCAAAATACTGAAAATTGCTGCTTCAGCTGCTACTGGTATTTCGGCCAAAAATATATCTAAATTATCCGTCTTGATTTTTTGACAGGATTTTGAGTAAAATCGTACTATAATGATCAAATTTATTGTTACATGGGTCTATTCGACATGTCGATGTAAAATTGCATATCTCGTCGAGAGCTGTTCTAAATTAGATATAATTGAAAGTGAATGGTAGGCTTCACGCTATTAAAGAAGGTGAATATTTTTGTAGGTATCTATATGTCAAATACATTAATTAACATTGTTTCTCAGTAAGAAAAGAAAAAGAAAAGAAAGCGATTCAACTTGATACTTATTTTAAATTAGATGAGCTTTAAAAAGATAAAACAGTTGTAAATGTCTAATTCGAACGGTAATGGATTTCTAGCATCATAGTTGATTATAAAAGTGGTTAGAAACTCGATTTCGGGAGGAGTGTATTTATTCGACTAACGATTAGACATGCTCCATTACCAATACCAACCAATACCGTATCGGTATCGTGACATGCATACTAGCGACGTCCATCGCTTTTGATAAAATTTTCTTACTTCATTTTGAGTAGATAAGTATTTTCTGCTATTCTGTCCTATTAAAGGGTACATTGGCCGCTTCCAGTCCACCGTATCCCAGTGTTGGTGCCACTCAGACATGGTCAGATGACGCAATGTATGTGTCACAGTCCTCATCAGATGAGACAGTGTGGCTCATTGGCTTTTTGCGTATTCCTAAAGCGGCGAATTTTACATTCACTTTACAAACAAACGGCAATGGAGCTCTGTTCTTAAGTAGCAATGATAGCCCTGCGAACGTTGTCAAAATTGCTGATGTTACAAACAATCAATCGAATACAGAATTACTACAAGGCAATATGGAGTGAGTATACCGTCTGAAGAAAAGCGACATTTATGAGTGTACGTTTGTCTTTAGCTATTACCTCTTGTGTGTGGGCTCTCGACTCGGTGGCAATCTTGTCTTGTCAGTTGAAGCACGCATGCACGAAACAACACTAACAGCAACAACGTCACGCTTGGTTCTCAACGAAATTCAAAGTATCAGCGTCATCGCAACTGTCGTTGCTGAAGAGCAGGTACGTAATTATATTGATTATATTCATGTATGTTAGACAGAAATTCGAAGATTTGTTATTTTTGTAGCGAATTTTCTATTCAACCAATGCGCCGAGCAACGGAACATCAGAAGTACAATCGATCCAAGCCGGCATATCTACATTTCAAATTGGCTTTCGCGGTGCCTATACAGGTTTATCTATTTATATATGTCCATGTCCTTGATATTTACCTCTCTTTCTTTCTATCAGCTCTACTCACTGGACAACCCACAACGGATGTTGTTGAAGCAGCTCTAAATGATTTGCCAACTATTTATCCACACACGGTCACTGTCACAGCAACAAGCACTCTCTATATAATTACATTTCCGTCTGAGATGGGTAATGTTCCACTAGTGACTTGCATATCAACATCAGGAAACGCACCTGTGATAAACGAAACTGTACAAGGCGTTGCATCTAATACTGCAATTGCATTTTCATTGAACGGAATGACAACAGATTATATCGATTTTACTACCAACGTGACGCAAGCGAACTTGATGGCACAATTTAATAAATTATTTTCAATTCTATGTCCGATTTCGATCAACAATGCACAAGCAACACAATCGATTGTCTATCTGCAAGATTTCGAAACAGGCTGTGTGTTTGACGAAACCAATATTCGAAGGAATGCATTCTGTGGCCAATGTTCACTAACGAGCAATACTCTGGTTACTGGGAATACAAGAGGTGGCAATTACTTGTGTTTTGCTTACAAGATTTCGAATAGCTATGTCACTCAAGTTGATGTAGGTGTATATCTCAATGGTGATATAACAACAAAATATTGGCCATCAATTCCATTCACACCAATAGCCGATGGAGTTTGGCATTATACATGCATCGATGTCTTTTCAACACTGAGTTCGCAATCAAGTACATACTCGTCGGCATCATCAATTGTTCTTAATTATGCAGCACTCAGTGAAAATATTCAACAAGGCATATCCATTGATGCTGTTACTGTGAGAACTGCATTGCCAATCGGTTATGAACCTCAATCATTGCACCCGATTGATCAAACAAATATATCATCGTGTGTCTTTCCATTCATCTATAATGGTCAGAGCTATTCGGCATGTACACTTGGCAATAACGAAATACCCATTTGTCTCGATCGTCAAAATAACACGAATCAATGTCAAAGTACATCGATTGAAGGTGCCCGTCGTCTCTACCCGGAACACCAATTAGTCTACAATACACTACAAGTCGCATACACACCTAGCACAAGCACGATTAATGTGTCATTCCGATACGGTGATTGTTCGACCCCATCGCTCATTCAATCTTTGCCGAGTACCGTAAGTCATCATATGACCCACTCCGGCATGCGTATTTCTATTATTTCTAGAGTGCGACATCGTCAATTGTTACAACAGCATCCAATGCCACTAGTGGGACGTTCGATCTTGTCTTCAATGGACAAACTTATTCGTCAATTCCAGTCAATATTGCTACATCCGATTTGGCCGTTCTACTTCAATCATCACCTGATTTTGGTTTTTTGAGTGTGACACGTTCACGTGACTGCACAGGCTATTTGTATTTGATTGAATGGGTAGCTAATGGAGGTCAAAAATCGGCTATTTCAATTGCCAATGTAACTGTCACACCGTCCAGCGCAACTGTCACAGCTTCGATTGTACAGCAAGGTGGAGTTCTATACAGACCATTACCTGGTGATATGACTCGTACATATAACATAAATCCTCAGGTATGAATAGCTACGGTTTCTTTCTGATAAAGCATGTACCTTATTTTAAAGGTCGAAGTTTTGGTGGGTGGTTATCCGTCACAGTGTGTGGGCAATGGTACTTGTGACTTTCGATGGTTGATCAGTCAAACTCCGTCGATATCGTCGATTTCTCAAAACAGTATGACCGTGACAATTACTGGTACAGGATTTAGTGCAACAGCTCTGGAAAATACAGTATTGATTGGATCAACAGGTTCATGCACAGTAACAATGGCCTCGATAACATCGATAACGTGTACAATTGGTGATGCTCCATCGGGCAGCTATGGTGTGAACATTAATGTACTCGGCAAGGGTTTAGCAACAAACAATAGAAATTTAACCATCAATGTGCCACTTCGGATCACATCTTTTTCGCCAAATCAAGGCGGAGGAGGTAAGCAGATTGAAAATACTTTTCATATTTTTAAATGCTTTTCATTTTATATACAGGTGGAGGTTACATATTAACAGTAGATGGCACCGGTTTCTCATTAGCTGCTACGGTCACTGTTGATGGTAACACCTGTATGAATCCTCAAGTGACCAACTTCTCGTCGATCACATGCACTGTACCGGCCACAACAGCATTAAACAATTATCAAGCGACTATCACTGTTATCAATCTTTCGAATACGGTTAGTGCATCATCACAGTTCACTTACAATGTAACTAATACGCCCAACATCTTGTCTACAAGTCCCAGTGTCTTTACGGTAGCTGGTGGCCTATGCAACATTTCTGGTACACTCTTTGGTAATGGGTTGCCCACCGTAACCATCGGTTCAACCCAGGCAACTGTCCTATCATCATCGCCGACCAATATTATTGTGATGTTACCTCCGTTGGTACCAGGTATCTATGCAGTTATGATCCTTACAGCAAACGGTTACGCTCGCCCACCAATTCAAATTGAATATCGTTTATATGTTCAGCAAGTGTCTCCGCAAGTTGGTTCATTGTACGGTGGCACTGATGTCTACGTGCAAGGTCAAGGTTTTGACAATACAACAAGTGTGAACTTTGTTGGCAATAATGTTTCCGTCCCTTGTACTGTGATATCTTTCCAAGCAACTCAAATTCATTGTCAAACAACGGCTGCCGCTCCTCAAGTCACTATCACATCGAACGGCGTTGATCCAGTCAATGGAGCTGGCTTTGCATGGTCGCCACAATACGCAACTGTGCAAGTAGGTGCTTTCGTCCAATGGCAATGGGGTTCATCGGCTCTTTTATCGTCAATTACTTACAAAGTACAGCAAGTAAGTAACGGATATAGCACAACTCCATTGATGAACGGTTTCGATTCTGGCAATGCATCAGCCTCTGGTAAGAAAAATGAATGAATGAATGAGATGGATATCATGGTTGATCTTTTTTTTTATTTATAAAGGTACTTTCTCGTATCAATTTCAAACACCTGGCATTTATTACTACTGGTCGACACCAGTCGATCAATCTGGCTTGATTTCTCTACGAGGTGTCATTAACGTAGTGGCTGCTCAATCACAGACGCTCGCGGTTCAGGTCACATCGCACTCAGTTACAGGTGAACAATAGAGTCTACTTTCTGCAAAAATAAAAGACTTAAATGTTGATGTTAGAAAATAGCGTAATAACTTGAAGTTGAGTGATTCATTCTGAATATTTGTAATTGCTTAAGAGTGTTGCTCGCTAGCACGTAGCTAGTAAAAGTTGAATGACTTGTTAATATTCAATTCGAGCTTACATTATTGTCACAAAGAAAAGATCTTACCATATGATATTGAAAATAGTTAACAATTTGTCTTGCAATTTTCCGAAAGGTATCTATCAGTTAAGAGCAATCATATGACAGCCTAGAATATTCTCTAGAAACCACGCAATCCTTAAATAAATTTTGTGTATTCTATCTAGCCATTATATATTGAGATATTGGAGCCGTTGTTAATATTTGTTGTATCCATTAAAATTAAATTTAAAAGTTTTCGGCTAACTGAATTCTTTTATTTACAATAGCTCAATCATGTATATTTCCATTTACTTTCAATTCTGTCACTTACGCGTCGTGCACTACAATCAATGATACTCAACAATGGTGTTCACCATCGCCGGTCTACACTGGTCAGCGACTCTATTGTACACCATCAAGTAAGTTGTTCTATTTACAACAGTAGTCAATATTCTTTGATATGCAGCTTCGGTACCTGTTTCTTCGTGTGGCGTGAGCTCCGTGATCAATCCAAGTACATGCTCACAAACAGTACCTACTACCAACCCATTGCTATTTCTATTTACGCCATGCTCAATTGGTACCGTTACTTCTATTTCACCAGTACAAGGTGTTGCAGAAACAGCAATCACTATCACAGGAACAAATTTTGGTACAAACAATTGCGAAAACCAAGTTTTTATTGGATCAATATATCAATGTCCGATCACGAGTGTCTCATCAACACAGATCGTGTGTCAAATTGGATCCAATTCATCACTCGATGCCAGCACAATACAAAATATCAGCGTTGCACGCGATCAACAAGGTTTTCTAATCAATAACGGACTGCTGCAGTTTCAATTCCAAGCATCGGTTACGAATTTTTCACCGAATCAAGGTCGCTTATTTTACTGACTTGTCAACAATAATAGAGTATTTTTTCTCTTCATCCATTTAGGCTCAATTCTGGGTGGTACTCAAGTGACCATTAATGGCAACGGCTTCACGCCTGCTGATACTCGAATCATTATCGGCCGTATTGATTACACAAGCCAGTCAACAATTACCTATTCTCAAATCATCTTTACCACTCCATCAGTGCCGTCAAATCTTTATATAAACCAAGCTATCCCTGTGACCATCTTGATAGGTACAAATCGAGCCATCTGTTCGTCAGCAACATGCACGTTTCAATGGTCAACAAGTGATACACCGTTTGTTGATTCTGTCACTCCAACGGCGATCACCGGCACACAAATTTTGACACTGACTGGCCGAAATTTGGCGGCCAATCCTACAGCAGCAATACCCTCTAATACCCATGTGACAATCAATGGAACTTCGTGTAATGTAACATCGATCACAAATTCGACTATTTTATGTCAAATATCTGGTGTTGCAGCTGGCAATTATTCAATTCTCGTATCTATTGACGGTATCTAGTAGTTTTTGGAAGCAAATATTATAACGATACATTTTTAGGTGTCGGAAATGCTGTTTCGGCAGCTAGGCTCATATCGACGGCGGCTCTTTCAAGTGTGTCACCAATGACAATTGGTACCAACGGTGATGTTCTTCTGACAATCAATGGCAACGGATTTTCAAGCAATATCAATAATGTTCAAGTCAATGTTGGTTCAAGCTCTTGTTCTATTGTGCAAGCCACGCAAAATCAAATTCAATGCATCGCTCCGGCTCGCGGTTCCAACGGATCTCCGGCTGCCATTAGTGTCATTTCGAATGGTATCTCGTTTCCGAGTACTCTTTCATTAACATACAGTACAACAATTACGCCAACGATCTCATCTGTCAGTCCCACATCCGGAAGTGCCTCTCAATTGTTGACCATTACAGGAACGAACTTTGTATCTAATGAAACTAGTGTTGTTGTGGGCAATGTACCGTGTGCAATTTCCAGCGTATCGACGACTTCAATTACATGTACAGTAGGTTCGAGTCCAGCCGGAAGTCAACCAGTGATCGTACAAGTCACATCCGCTGGCAATTCGAATTCAAACGTTCAATTTCAATATGCTCTACAGGTTAACAGCGTGACACCGACGCAAGGCAGTTACGGTGGTGGTCAATTGTTGACCATTGTCGGCGATGGGTTCGACGGATCGAATTTGGCCATTACTCTGTGTAGTCAAGCGTGTCAATCGATCACAGTACTGTCGAATACTCAAGTGACATGCGTCACTCCTGCGGCGACAGCTTCCACATCTAATACGATATGTAGTTTGACAGTGTCGATCGGTAATGCCACACACAGTGTCTCGTATACCTATTCAGCCAGTTTGACGGCTCGTGTAACATTCGTGAGCCCAACACGAGGTGGAACAGGTGGTGGAACTACATTAACAATAACTGGAACGAACTTTCCGTAAGTTTCATCGTTCTTAAATAAATCAATTTATCTCTAATCATCTGAATATTACAGCACAGCGTTGGGTGCAATATCTGTAAGCATTGCGGGCGTCTCATGCAACGTACAATCGGTCTCTCAAACAGTTGTGATCTGTTTCACTGGCAGCTATTCGGCAACAACTATTCAAGCGCCTGTCATTGTCTCGATGACCAATGCTGGCATTGCAGCGGGATCAGTTCAATTTCAATACATCAATCTTTGGTCAAGCCCATGGACATGGGGTGGCAATCCACCACCTGAAGCCGGTGAGCTCGTCGTAATCGATGGTGGCAATACGGTCTATTTCGACACAACAACACCTATTCTCAAAGCAATTGTCATTGACAACGCTTCCGTAATCTTTGATGACAATCAAGATGTTGCATTGAATGTTGAATACATATTGATTGTGAACAATGGCCTTTTCCAAGTCGGCACAGAGTCAAATCCATTTCAGCATCAAGCTATTATTACGATGTACGGTCAATTACGATCGATTGAATTGCCAATCTGTATGTCATCTTGTTAACAAAATGAGCACACTTTTAGCATATGAATTTTGTTTTTCTTTCTAGATGGTGCGAAAGTGTTAGCTCTACGCCAGGGTAAAATCGATATGCACGGCATCGATTATGGTCAAACATGGACACAGCTAGGACAAACTGCTAACAGTGGAGACTCACAAATTACACTTCGTCAAGCAATGCGCTGGCCTATAGGCAGTCAAATCATTATTCCAACAACAGGCGATTATGAAAGTCAAGCAGAAAGTGAAGTACGTACAATAACTGCTCAATCAAGTAATGGACTCATATTGACATTGGACGCACCGCTGAATTTTACACATTTGGGGGTGTCGCGAAATATTGGTTCTTTAACGGTAAATGCTCGTGGTGAAGTCGGTCTCTTGTCTCACAACATTCTCTTTCAAGGTTAGTCATTCCACAAAACGTTCAATTTGAAATAGTATATACGAGAATATTTTTAGGTTCGGTGACTCAAACATGGAATCAAGTCATTCAACCGTGCCCAGTCGGATTCAATCCAGGTAGATGAATTGTTTTGTTGATGAACAAATAAAACATTTTCTGTTGCTTTATAGATCAATTTGCTGTTCAATCATGCTTCCTTGGCCGATACGGCCAGGAAATTGGTTCAGATCAATTCGGTGCCACAATCATGGCTAGTGGTGCAAATAGTTCCGACAACACTCAAGACGTTATTCTCCGCTTGTCGAACATCGAGGTAAGCCGAAATCACAAATCATCATTCTCGATTGATAATTAATTCTCTTTGAACTCGAAGATATTCAATGTTGGTCAAGCGTTTCGTCTCGGTCGATATCCAGTTCATTTTCATATGAATGGAAATATGAGCTTGTCCTATATTAAATCATCATCCGTCTATCAATCATACAATCGTGCCATCAATATACACGCTTCAAACTATGTCACCGTTGAAGACAATGTCATCTACAATATCATGTATGTCTATAGAGAAAATTTCCTACATTAAGCGTATAAATTCAAAAGTATGATGTAAAAGAGTATCACCCTTGAATAATCAGATCCTTAGTCGATTTTTCATCAATTTTTGATCCAAACGTATCCAAAAAAGATCAAAATTTCTTCGATGATTATAATTAGTTTCGATTAATGTCGATAAAAAATTCTGCAGAAAACATCGTTTTTAATCGATTTTCATCTGATTATTACGCTCAGTTTCTTTACATGGGTAACGACCACTATTCTCATAGATTATAGACTTTTACTTATCTGTACGCCGCACACAAACTCTCTCGCTCTAGAGCAGATCTCTGAGGCAACCGAATGGTACAAAATTCTACTTAGGATCCACTGTTTCGGGTTAGACGTTTAGAAACACTGAGCTACTCCTTTTGTAATCTCATCCTATATGGGTGGCTTGTTAAGAACCTTGTAGTCTGTTAAACATCTCAAATCATGTCGGAATTAGATCCTAGACCACATACAACTATAGCTCAGTTGTCTACACTGTAAAAAAAAAGAGTAGAATAATAAACCCTTGTCCTTTCTACAAATCATGTTAAACCCTTGAAGGGTTTATGACAACGCCATAAACCCTTAAAGGGTTTATGAAACGAAGGGTATATGAAAAAAAGATGATACAAGAACAAAAAGGGTTTATTAATCTGAGATTTAAGGAGAAGGGTATATGATTTTATCTTCAAGGGTATTTTAATATGCGGTTTCAATAAAAGGGTTTATTACTTTCGTACTAAGGGTATTTTATTCTACGGTCTCGAGAAAAGGGTTTATTACTTACTTAAAAAGGGTATTTTATTCTACGGTCTCGAGAAAAGGGTTTATTACTTACTTAAAAAGGGTATTTTATTCTACGGTGAGGGATTTACGGGGATTTATTGTTCTACTCCATCATCAAAAGGGTTTTTTATTCTTCGTTCAAAGGATTACACTTTTTCAACTGATATATATATATATATATATATACCATGAAAATTTCTCACAGGACACTTCAAACAATTTGATATAATAAACATGTTAATACAATCATTTTCTCACAATGCTGCCATTCATGCATCGATGCACTTTTCATTTCGTACCTGTTTCGTAAAACATAACGGTATGATAAAGAGGCGCTAATTTCTCTAATAAATTTTGAATCATTTCGAGCTAAACTTATACTTATAAAGGTTTTTAAAATAGATCAACAATTTTATAAAAGTATTAGAAATATATACGTTATAGATTTCTAAAAAAATAAGAAATATGTTAGAAAATTTTTGAGAAAATGGAGCAAAACGTTTTTAAATCTTTTTAAAAATCTTTTTGAGGAAATATATTTCAAAAACAAATTTTTCCTAATTTATTTAAATATGTAAAAAAATAATTTTTATTTCCAAAGAAATAATTTTTTAAATGCAAAATATTTTTTTGTATCTTTTTATGACAATTAAAAATGTAATAACAATTGTTCCGCTTAACTTTATATCATCTTCAGTTTCCTATAAAGTTTCGTTTGATTTAAGTAGCATTTCTTACTTCATATTGATATCATACGACTGACCGAATGGATAACATCTTGGACTATCAATCAATACATCAGATGATTGAACCTAGGACAACGCAGTAAGTTCCAAAATTTTAATCGGATAGATAAATTGCAAAAAAATACGTTGTGATGCGCATTGTAAACACAAACGAAAAAGAATCATAGTGTACTCATTTGTTTTTGGATTCTTTTTTCTGAAAGATGGTTAACGCGTTTTTTAAGGCGCTTGTCTGAATGGAGATTGTAATAAACCCTTTTTGGGTATAGGACAAAAGTAATAAACCCTCTTTTGGGTATGGAACAAGAGTAAAAAACCCTTTTTGGGTATGGAACAAAAGTAATAAACCCTTTTAGGGGTATGGGACAAAAGTAATATACCCTTTGAAGGGTTTATGAAAGTGCAACGTATCATAAACCCTTTAAGGGTATATTAATATACGGTTTTTATTTACAGTGGAGGACTTGCATTTGTAAGCATATTTATAAATGTAAAATTTTTCATGAACCTTGCGAAGGGTCCTAACGGGGTGGAAAATTTTGAGTCTTGCAGCAAAAATCTTTCTTGCTAGAATTTCTCCATTTAGAATGATAGAAAATTGAAACCTATTGAATAGATGCTATTCAATGGGGCAATCCTTTCATTGGCCGGAGATTTCTATGTCAGATATTTCTTTTGTATCGAAATGTTTCCCACACAGATCAAATTCTATGAGATTTTCGAAGCTAATTTTTTCCTATCAGTATCAGGAACTGGATTAAGTTGACGATTTTATTTGCAGTAGAATTTTTCCTGATGATAATATTTAGTTATATGATTTGGACGGGTGTAAAATTAAAGTTGGCCGCTAAGACAGATCATTTTAGGGGAGAATTTTTACTTTCCCCCTATACTTCAGTACTGTTCTATCAGAAATTAGTGATTATCCACTGGAAAAGAGCTTGAACCTGAGATTTCCTTGATATAGGCTATAATAAAAACGTGTGCACTTCCTTGCACCATGAGTTAGAAAGTTTTAAAATGTCCATGCAGAAATATAGTCAAAATCCGTTGATTCGAGAAATGTACTTGGCTAATTTTGAATCATCATTTTTTCTGTTAGTTCAGTTTGAGTAGACTATGCATGCGTATTGATTCCGTCACCAAATTGTTAATTTTCTCATAAGACAACTCTGAAGCATAAGGCTGAAGGAAAAATCCTCTCCCAACGCTATCTCTCTTAGTAGTCAATTTTAATTTGATACAGTTCCAAAGCATATAACTGAATATTAATTTCAAAGACGATGCTACTGCCTAGAATATCATTCATTCAATCTAGTTTTTTATTGGAGAATTTCAGGTGTCAACATGTCAAAAAAACTGATTTTTGTGGGAAAACTTTCGATGTAAACGAAATATCAGGCAAAGAACTTTTCGGTCACTGAAATGATCGTCTCATTGAATAGTATCTATTCTAAAGGTTTCACATTTCTATCATTCTAAGCGGAGAAATTGTAGGAATCAGATTTTGACTGCAAGACTCAGAACTGTTCACTCCCCTGATACCCCTTTACAATGTTTATAAAAAATGTACGCTTACTGATATACTAACAAATGCAAATCCTACAAACTCTGAAACTGTCATTTATTGCTAATGAGTCACTTCCAAGCAATTTGGAGAATGTGTGATGTTGAGAAAAAACATTTACTGCATTTTAGACTCAAAAGATAAATCGATTTCGAGGCTGTATCTATACTTCGCAAGTTGATTTTAATGTTAAATTGTACACCTCAGTTAATGCAATCTGATCAGCAAATTCGGACTAAACTTGAGTTGCCATTATCCTAGAACAGTGAAGTGCAAAATCGAAATTTTGGAAAAAGAAGTATTTGCCCGAGCGGTCTCGTCCAAAATCTTTTCTAAAGGGAGCCGTATTTTTCAATGTAAAAAGGTCTTAATGGTATACGCATATTTGAATAAATAATTTCATGGTTCTATCATTTTCTAGTCAGGAGATATGAACTCCCAAAATAGGCCAAAAAACTGAGTTTTTACTCTAATACTGCAGTCCATAAAATATCAACGACTTAATTATTGTAGTCGAGATTTAAAAAAATATGCTGTATATTATGGTTTATGAATTCACAAGAATTTTCAGTTCAATCGTACTAGTCGTTCTTGAGATTAAGGCTCTTGAAAAATCTTGTCTGCCCATAATGACGTTTTCTGGTGGTATGGGAAAATTCGATGAACACTCAATACTCCATTTTTTTCAATCGATCTCTGCCTAAAATCATTTCAAAATTCCCATTATCACATATTTTGAAATTAGCGCGTTGGGGACTATCGATTGAGCAGGTCCTATAGCGATATGTCGTGGATTACGTAGACTAGCTCATTGATGAAAATTACTATGCTATATTGTTAATGAAAAACAATAAAAATACTGGTAGCTTTATATATAGTATATTTACTAGCATTTATAATGAATAATTTGCAGCAGCTCAAAGTCGCTCAAAGTACTTTAAAGTAGCCAGAGTTACTTCAAGTACAAAAGTAGGCCGTTTCCCTTTGAGTGCTGTTCTGATTTTGGTAGAAATATATCATGTGGATGGGATGACGGAACTCTTCAAAACTTGAAGAGGCTCAAATAGGAGCTATTTCCATGGGATGCAACTATTGTGCAAGATTTTAAAACGTTCAAAACAAGGTTAAATAAATTGAATGAGTATAATACTCAAATTTTCAAGAAGCTCAGAAAGCTACTACGTCGAGGAGACACGAATCAGAGCGTACCAATGAAATGTTTTTCTATTCCCCATTCCGACTGTCTTGGATCCAATGAAACCAGTATGGTCGATAACATGAGTCGCTTTGCCCCTTAGAAAGTTCTTCCATTTTAATTCCACTTCAATTTCAATTCTTCTATACGCTTCCTCATCAAGCATTTATAAAATCTTTTATTACTTGAATTATACTTTTTGTTCGAACATATATTTCGTGACATAGGTCTAAGAGCACAAGAATCGTAAAAAAATGTAATTCAGCCTTAATCAATGATAAAATTAAAATAATCTATGAGCCAGTCCATGTAGTTCACGACGAAAACATAGAGACCCTGCGCAATCAAGATCGTCAGATTCTGTTCAATTTAGAATATTTTGTAAAGGAAAGAGTTCTAGAAATTTTCATCGAAACTGTTTCAAAAAAAATGTAACCCTCGATATCGTATGACCATTTCCGGAAAACTCCTGAAACTGAATAATTAAGGCAGAAATGCTACCCTTACGGGTTATAGATCCATGTTGAATCTACAGTTAGATGCGTTTGAAAGTAATATTCATCGTATTTTTTTTATCAAATTACTAAGTTATTACATTTTATGACTCCTCTAATGTAGTCACACACGAACAGTTTTGATTACCTTTTTAATAGATCGATCTAAAGGTCTGAAATTCTTATTATAGATAAAATAGTCGAAGATGC